GGTGTGTTGATGTCTCTCCTCTGCTTCTTTACAGATCCTGCACATGCAGTATTGGGTTATTATCTTCTTTATTTGTCCGTTTAGTTTGCAAGTGTCCTGTTAAGAATCCTGTTAGGATTCACAGTTTTTTTCTGCTCCCCTATTCTATTACTTCTTTCCTTTCGAAATTTGTTAGGGGGTTCTTGGATTGTGTCCAATGAGTGAGTTCTATTGTCCCCTCATTTTCTTTTTACCTTCTGTCTGAGATACTCATTGATAGTGTGGGTTGCTACGCAACAGAAGGGTTGAGGTCCTATCGGTGGTATAGCCGTTATAAAGGTATGAAAGAAAATTTTTTTAGGAAGGAGTCGAAGGATTTCATAGGTTGTACAATTAACGCGGATGCCAACCATCAAAAGCTTGAGCCACATCAAGGACAGCAGTACACTTTCATCTAAAGAGAAGAAGAGATGGCTTCTACAACATTGCTGGATTCTGTAGTGGTGTTTCCGGGATAATATTTTGATCTTCTATAATGGGAAGGATTCTTTCCAGAAGGAGCTTCTCGAGAATTTTTCCTAGTATTCTAGTGCCATATTCTGACTCCTGGTAGTCCTTAAGATATAAGTCTAGAGGTTATTAAGACGAGGATTGCTTTTTTAGGTAGGAGTCGAAAAGGATTTCATAGGCTTCACAGTTATACGGATGCCAAAGCCAAACCAAGTAAAGCATCTGAGGAGTACTGTTTCAGCTCAAGGAGCTTGCGTCGATTGTAAAAATCCAAAGCCTCATAAACCTAATCACTCACCTAATCCTATCACCGATAAGCCTGTAAGATACTAGGAAAATCCTCGAGAAATTTCTTTTGAAAACAATCCTTCTCTAAATACCACTTTACAATCCAGCAATGCCACTGTAGGGAAAGTAAGTGATACTTAGAGCAGCATGAGAAAGGTTGAAAGAAAATGTTTTTTTTTTAGATTCTAAGGATTTCGTAGGTTCCAAGGCAAACCTGAATGCCAAACCCTCAAAAGCTTGAGCTTCATCAAGGAAAGCACACGATTGCGTCTGCAGGACGGTAGTATTGCTGGATTGTAGAGTTGTATTAACAGAATCCAACCTGGTGAGATGGGATAGTGTTGTTTTTTAGAGTGGAAAGGATTGTTATCAAAATTAGTTTCTCCGAGATTTTTCCTAGTATCCAAGCAGTTTGGTGTGAACCGTAATAGTCCTTAGAACAGCATTGTAAGGACATGTTAAGAAGAGTATTGCTCTTTTTTAAGGAGGAGTCGAAAGATTTCAGACGTTATAAAGTCGTACCATGGAACTTTCTTTTTGGAAATTTTTTTGATAATATACTGGACCTCTGAAGTTTGTTTTGGAAGGTAGAGAAGTAATGGTTGAACTAGTTCTGTTTTATATTTATAATATCAAACCTAATGAATTATTTTACAATTAATTAAGGTTTTTAGTTGAGATGAAAAAAAGTTAATGGCACGAGAGGGATTCGAACCCACGATCTTCGGCTTGATACGCCGCTGCTCTACCACTTGAGCTATCGTGACCTCGATCCACTCGGACATCAACTCCCCATCTCAACCCCACCTTATGAGGTTTCCCTCCTTTAATTGGTAAGTATTAATTGGTCAAGCGGACCACGAAAATAGTGAATCTAATGAATTATGTTCTAAATTAATAATGGATTAAAATAAAATAAGAAACGTGCAAAATGAAAAGTACGAACATCGCACCGCCACAATAAATAGAATAAAATAAATTCTCAGCACTGCTATAAGTGTCGTTTCTCCCGCTGTTTCAGGAATTTTGCAATTCCTAATCGTTCAAGTGTATTTAATTTTTACTAAAAATAAATGCCAATTGTATTTGTATTTATTAGATATTCACTTCCTGAAGAGTTGAATTTGAATTTGTGTCGTAAGGAGGCGGGCGCTGGTCGCTCTTCGTTCTTCGAACGAATGAATCTCTTGATCGTTCTTCGAGAATCGTTCGTTCACCGGCCGCCTCGACTGTTGATATACCATGATGTTTGTTTTTCAAACGACGTTCCGCTGTTACTGGGCAGTTAATATTTAATTATTTTATTTGGAGGGGGTGTCACAAATTGCCGTAGACGGCCAATATATCGCCTTTCTACCGTCTACGAAATGGTAAAATAACATCTTAATTTTTTACTGTGTTTTCAGCACTACTACACTCCTGATGTATCATGTTTCTCAGCCACTATATGTCACTATAAAACACCCAAGGATTGACATGGTTTGGATTTTAATTTTTTTCATTTACTGACACAGTTATGAAAAGTCATCATTCTGTTGACAAATTAAGATCCACGCCCAACTTTAGCATGTTTGGCATTGTTCAAAACCATGTAGGTTGGTGAAACAGGTTTGAACCTGCTCGATCACTGCAAAATGATTTATATAATCGTGAGATATCCAATTGTCCGCAGTGTGATGAACCTGTTAGTCGTTGTGGTTCATTCTTAGTCTGGCTATCTATGCTGGGTCAGTCAGAAGTGTTTCGGCATTTCTTCATCATCAGAGCCAAAGCGACCTGACAGAGTGAGCCAGATTTCGTAATCGTTTACTGTCCCCTACTTGATTCCGATAGTGTGCAGAGACAGGTATTGCTTTAAGCGGATCCTGGGGTGGAGTGCTACCTGAAAAGGTGAGTGCTTCTGCCCAGGCAGACACTGAAGATAACAAAATGCCAAAACGCATCTGACAGACCGGCCCAGTGAGGTTAGACCAAGGTTCAAATGGCACTGGGTTATTGGGTCTGTCTACATTCGTGGGTTTTTTAATTACTCAAATGTGTATCGGCATTGTGCCATATAAAGTGTGTGCCTGGGCAGAGGAAATTAACTCTTCAGGTGGCACCCACCCCAAGCTCGACTTACCCTCAGTAAGCCGCTTAAAGTAATACCCATCTCTGCATTATTAGACTCAGCCTCCAAGTTCCTCCTGAAGAGAGTCAGTAGATCAAGAATCAAATTACAGGATTACTCCAAGTGTTTAGGTAGATCCAAGTTTTTCATGAAGATGCACAATGCCATAACATGTTTGAGTAAATTAAAAACTTGCTAGTGAATACCCAATAAGTAACCCAGTGCCAATTCAACATGTGTTCACCAATTCGCAGACCAACACCCACCATCATCTTCAACTCTAATTTGTTGAAGTTGAACAAGTTTTAGTAGACAATGGAAAGTGTCGTGTGGTAATTTGCTTGTACCAGGTCCCCCAGAAATTTTTTTCTCACTTTTTTTCTCTCATTTTTGAAGTATGAAATAAAAAATAGTATTAAAAAAATATATTGTATTTCATGAAATAATCAACATCGGCTTCATTGTCCCTCAATGTCAAGCAATTCCGCTTCCTGTTTTTGCTTTACATTAATGATTTCCCTAAATCCATAAAATATTTATGAAGAGGCTCCCAAAGCTACTGGGCCGCTGAAATAGGCTTAACTTGAGTGTAGAAATATCTCAGGATATTGTGTTTGGATCCAATTCCTTCATTCCTTACCCTCCTATTCCTCCATTTACAATTAAAAATCATTCTATTTTCTTGGTGTTCTCCTTGATCAGGCTTTGTGCTGCAATTCCCATCTCCCAACTTCCCTCTGCTGCTTCTCCATCAATTTCACTGTGCCAGCCAGCCACCCTCTCTTCTTTGGTATGTGTAAACCTACTGTTGTTTCCTTCTCCCCCTCTCTATTTTCACCTTTAGCACTTCAACTTTTATCTCTTGTATCCAATCCCTGCTAATAGTTTTCCTGGAAGATTTTTGTTTTTTAATAAAGTACAAAATTCTTCTCAGTGGTATGGTATCGAGGCCTACATTACACAAGAATGACTACCCCGGGTACTGAATGACTACCATAGCACTGCAGTTGCAAGGCAGTTGGATGTGAGACATAAAATAACTTACATTCCCCCAGTGGAGGAAAGGCACACCAAAGGAGAAAATCTCACGAAAAATGGTGAAGCCCAAACAAACAAGATTAATTTAAAAATAATGCTTTTGTGTTTGTTTTGAACGTATCACAATGTGTTTCTTGTATTGTTGTGAATATCTAATTATGTAATTATCTTGATCTGGCTTTGCCTTTGGAATTTAATTTGAAAAAGGTATTATAAAGTGGTTTGACCCCCCCCCTCCTGGGCCACCCAACATGTAGTTGAATGTTAAGCCCTCCTGTAATTATCTTCGTACTTTATCTAATATGAGAAAGATATAATGGCATCATATAAAAGATTTTAATATTTTTTCCAGTGTATTTACCATGTTATCAACAGACAGAGGACTGTCTTTGTGTATTTTAACTTAATTTTAACTGACCTTGCTATGTTAGTCTTAGGCTCTATTGTTGACTAAAAGTGTTGTTTTTTTAATGTACAAAAATTTTTCATACAGTGAAAAATATTAGATTTAAGCAAATATAATAAATATGTAAGAAAATTTATTAGTATTGTTTATTTAATTAATTTTCAAGCAGTCATGATGAGGTATTTTGTTCCCCAGAGTATTTTTTATTTTTTTCATTTTGTCTTGCAGAATTTACAAAACCAAACCACCTAGCCTTGTTCTATTCCTGGGAGACGTTTACTGACATAAGAAAAATAAAATCTAAAAAATCTTTGGCCTATCGATTTTATCAGATAACTAGATCATTTCAGCCCTCCAGATTGACGATCAACTCTGATTTAAAATTTATTTCATGTTTTTACCGTAGCATCTATAAACACATAATAATAATCTATGAACACCTTTGTTAAAAATTAATGAAAAAAATACATGGATGTTTCAACATTTACTATTATTGGGTTCATAATAGAACAATTTGAGCAGGCAGACAATAAATCTAATTTTTTTTTTTGTTTAAAGCTTAGTTATACACTGATTTTGTTAAATTAATTAATTTATTTATTTATTTTATTTTACTTTTATTTATTTTTTTTAACGAGTGAATTTCATTGTCAGACTTTGATTTAACAGTCAAACCTCCGTCAGAGGCGACATCCCAGAGATGGCAGCTTTGAGTTTGAGAACCGATATAGTGATGTCATCGATGATGATTACAACACTCGACAATTCCGGGCCAGCATTCCCAGTTCTGTATTAACAATCGTACTTCTTATTATTGGCATTGTTCTTTTCAACACAGCCGCTTACTTCGGAGATTTATTACCCCGCCCATTGCTTCAAGATGAAAAGGGAAGGTAAATCGACCATTATGTTTTAACATTTTTAAAATAATGTGTATTGTTTGTGTAAATGATAAAATTTTGAATTTGATATAAAAAAATGTAAAATATTTTTATTTTTATTTTATTTTTAGATTTGTTGCTAAAAGGGCATACATTCATTTAAATGAAATAGTGAGCATAGGCCCTAAAGTGATTGGTAGTGACAAAAATGAAATTTTGGCGCACAGGACAATACTGTACAAGCTTCAAGCTATTAAAAACAATGCCAATCCTACAAATGATATAGAGATCAGGATGCAAACGGTGAACGGTTCTTTCCCCATCCGATTCCGAGGTCTTGAATCGACCAATGTTTATTATAATGTACAAAATTTAATTGTGAAGATTGGGAAGTCTCCACAAGCACTTCTTGTCAATTGTCATTTCGATTCTGTACCTACAAGTCCAGGTAGTTAACAAACATTTTGATCCAATTTTGTATTAGATTTTTCAAATTAAAAAAACCCTATTTACTTAGGAAATCATTCTTATTTTTAGGAGCCAGTGATGATATTTTGAATTGTGCTGTAATGTTAGAGGTACTCCATATTCTCTCACAAAGTCCGACCAAGCTACCATTCAGTGTTATATTTTTATTTAATGGCGCAGAAGAAGGTCAGCTGTTGGTAATTAAAAATCCTACATTTGAAAACTATGTATATATCTAATGAATTCTTCCACAACATCAGTAAGTTGTTTAGAATTTATTTAGCCTATACTTTACTATAATTATCTTTATACGTAATAAGGCAAAATTGAATACAAATTTGGTGTGCACCGTGTATAATGATGGTGCATCCACTTTGTAGTCGCTCCTGCTGCACTGTAGTGTTTACACGACAGAATTTTATGTGATTTGACATATGCTTGTGGTGATTTGAGACAATTTGAGCTCTACCTGCCTTGAGCTCCAACTCCTTGAGCACAATTACGACTGATGATAGGTCTTTTGACAACACTCTCATCTTGATCTGGTTGGAGAGATGGAACAAAGCGATGCTGGATGTCTTTGTCCCTGGAACGTAGATTTGGAGGATAACAAAAAGCGGAGGAGGTTACTTAGGCCGGGATGTGGCAATCTCCAGACCCCATTACCCAGATCTGGCCCCCAGATGCTAACCATGCTATCAAAAATGAGATCAAATGCATCATAGCAGCATAGTGTGTCAGATCGACTGATAAGTTCATACGGTCGAAGGGTGGTCCTTGGATGATCTGAATCATAGAAGAGGGATCAACCTCACCTGATTAAGAATAAGCCATGTGAGGTTTACTTTTTAGGAAACAAGGCTACTATTGTACATAAAACTGATAGATAACTTGTTTCGTGTTACCTTTTGTGCATGTTGAGGGTGAATGTATTAGTGTAAATGAGTAAAATGAGAGGGCTTATAATGGAATACTTAGTATCCCATCGATCCTCAATTAGAATAGGTGGTATATAAACAATAAAGAATGTATTTAAGAAGGGATGAGAGTCTAGGTTTAAAAACTGCAGGCTTAAATAATCTAGCTGCTGAAAGCTCCTGGAGGCTAACATTGACAGCAGGATGAATAAGGCTGAGGCCTGACCCCGGACTGCCAAAACACAAAGTGGGTGATTAAAAGTCATAATCCATAACTATTTTCCAGGCTTCACACGGATTTATTACTCAACACGAATGGGCCAAGCATGTCAAAGTTTTTATAAACCTTGAAAGTTGTGGTGCAGGAGGAAGAGAGATCTTGTTCCAAGCAGGTCCCAATCATCCTTGGCTTATTGAAGTAAGTGTTAAATAATATTCTTTCGTACATTGTCATCACATTGTATGGATCTTTCTATAAATTTTGTTTTAATTTGGAGTGAATTTGCACTTTGTAGTAATTAATTAATTTTCAACTGTCAATTTATACAAATTGTAATTAAAATAACTTTGTACTTTGTTCGTTTTTGATCATCCTCACACAAAGAAACTTAAGAACTTATAAATCAACTAATACACATTCACTCCACTCAAAACTTTAATAACATTGAAAGAAAATGACCAAATAACCAAAAAACTCAGACATAATTTCAAAAAAGCTGACAGAAGGATATAATACATGGTAAACTCTTTCACTTTTCACGAACATTTAAAAGGTACTTGACTAAGTCAACACAAACCCACCACTGAAGATGGCAAAATTGATGAACAACACCAACTATTATATATGGAACAAGATTATCTGGAATGACCGAACTACATGTTAACCCCAGGCCTGTACTAAAATTTAATAGTGATAGTAAATGTAAGATTCCACATGTTATATGATTCTCTGCAGTTTTAAAACACTAGGAGAAATAAAAAAAATCATTTTTATGATGAATAGCTACATTATAGCATATTTATCAACTACCTTCCTCCCTCCTGCCTGGTATCCTTGCTCTTTTTCACTCCTCTATCTAAATTAGAGTGGATTTGGTTAAATTTAATAAAATAACTAACTGACAAATGAAATATTAGAATTATAAATTACTTATTTCTGTCGGAAATATATTTTCTTTAACATAACTACAAACTTTGCCTGATTTTGCCTTGGGAGACAAATGTAAAAACCATTTTTTTTAAATGTTTTTTTTTTCACAAATTTTAAAATACACACCATCCAATCACACTGTAGCATTTTTTCCTCAAATTAAATTAAGTAAAAACTAGCATTAACATAGTTGAAAATCTAATTACTGCCTTCTAGAAATATGCCATGGTTCCCCATCCACATGGGTTGGTTGTGGCTGAAGAAATTTTCCAGAACGGTCTTGTTGCTTCCGATACAGACTTTAGAATATTTAGAGATTTTGGCCGTTTGTCTGGTAAATTAATCTATTTCTAACTGTAGTGAATGAAATGACAAATTGTACTATTTTTAACAATAACTAATAAATTATTTTTCAGGTTTGGATTTCGCTCATTACAGGAATGGATATGTTTATCATACTAGATTCGATAACATTGAAAGTATATACAATGTTCTTGGAGTTCTTCAGCACACTGGAGACAATTTACTAGCTCTAATACATTCTATTATACATTCAAAAGAAATGGTAGCTCCATCATCAAAAGAAGGAAAAATCGTTTATTTTGATGTTTTTGGTTTTTTCTTTTTGCATTTTAAAGCAGCCACCTACATGTACATAAATTATGCAACAGTTGTCTTGTCAGTTACATCAATTTTAATAATGGCAAAAAGATGTAAGTTACATATTTTTATTATTATTAAAATAATTTTCAAAAAATTAAATGTTATCAGTGTTGGCTATGTGTTAGATTTTTCCCTACAAGGAGGGAAAAAGGTGATGTTCTAATAAGAGGCTCCCCTTCTCATTTTATTTCCCATCCTGGATCCCACTATGATCATTAATTGATGGAGGCACTTATTTAGGCTTATAAGCCTCCAGGTCCAGATTTATCACCTATTCTGCCAGACCTCAAGGGCAGTCGAGCATACCTTAAATAGCGGGATATTTATATTCTTATTATTATTAAAATACTTTCACAAACTTAAATGCTAAGGTTATGCATTATCTTTCTTTTGGCCTAGGGGGGAAAAGCTGATGTTGAATCAGCAGGCCACCACTTGCACCCACTAAAAAAAAAAAAAAAACTATTTTCTCATCCTAGAACTGCTATGAGCATTACTTTTGGATGGAGATGCTGACTAAGGCCACCTCCAGATCCAGATTCACACTCTTTACGACCTACTCACCATGACCAGTATTGGTCTTTTGTGCATCTCCATTGTTGTCTAGAGCTCCTCATTGAACTTAAGGCTTTTTACCGTCTGGTAAAGAAAGAGGAGATTAAGATCCTCATGGATTAAATTAAACGCATTTAACCTAGTCCTAGGGATTCCTCTTTAGAAATATTAGTGGTCCAGAAATCACTCCCATATATAATATTGAATTTTTATTGGTTACTAAGCAGTTTTTATTATTTTTAATTTTAATGCAAAGAAAGTTGAGAATATAGAAGCTTGTGATACTAAATTTTCTTCTTAACCTTCTTTGCATAAAAATTAAAAATAATATTGTATGTTATTGTATTCATTGTTGTTGTTTTTGTCTTGTTTTTTAGGTAAAAACCCACACCAAATTTTAATTTATGGCGTTTTATCAGCACTTGGAGGTTTGGTATTGAGTGGAGTTCATAATTTAGCAATGGCGTTTATTCTTGACTATAAGAAACTAACTCTTACCTGGTTTTCCACTATTGGTTTTGTGATTCCACTGTATGGCATACCTACTCTCATCATATGTTTTGGCATGGCGTTAATACGCTCAGATCGTGAATCGGTAATTTTTCCAACTATAATTACCATTTTGATTTTTTAATTGTAGCAAAAGCCATTTCATTAAATGAAATGAATTAAAAAGACGAGTACACATTTTTTAACATTTAACAACATGAATATTATTGTCTTATATAAAAACTTTGCATAACGTGTAATTGTTGTTATCAGTCACTTATTTGATTTTATATTGACAGGTTGGTTATTTATGTTGGGAAAGAGTACGCAGCCATTGTCTTTCAGTTCAGATGCTTTGGACGTTAATCTTATTGTCATTAACAATTATGAAAATTCGTTCATCATTTTTAATTCAATTACTTGTCATCTTCCCTTCAATTGCTTGTTTAATATTGAATGACCGGATAAAAAGTGTCTGTAAGTAAATAAAGTCTTAACAATAAGTTTGCCCCAAAAGTTTTTGCATGACTTATTTTAAAATCAGGTTTTTATACTGTTGTCTAGACAACATTTCAAAAAACCTTGTATGCTTCTTCTACACAATGGCCATCAGTGGCATCTACATTCATCCACGCATTACTTGATGATGAGTGTGTACATATTTTTGATGATTTTTCTTTGAGAAATTATTCCACAACGTTGTAAAAAATATTTTTTATTGATCATTTTATTAAGTATTAATTGAATTTTTTTTCAAATTCTTGTAGCCCTTAACATCTGCAATTCAACTCAGTTCTTTTGATCCGAATCTTTATTTTCTCTTCTGCTATAATTAGTTCCTTTTCGATCTAATGCCTGTTGTGTGTTACTAGTTAAGCATGTAGTTGCCGATTATAGGCCATTGTATAGAGGCCTTTAGATCTCTCACCATGATTATGACATCAAATGTTGTAATTATTTAATATTATTTCAATTTTTCAGTTGGATGGACAATTATTTACATTTTGTCCACACTGCCGGTCTCACTTTATCTGGCGTATCTTTCACTAAGTGTTATGAAGTTGTTTATTCCTATGTCAGGACGTATTAATGATGACAAAAATCCTGAAATAACAATAAGCTTGTTATCAACTATGCTTACAGTTGGAATTTCAAGTTATTTGGTAAGTTTTTTAATAAATTTTATTGCATTCATAAAAATATAGTTGCTATTTAAGTTAGTTAGAATTGAGGTAAAATTAGTAATTTAAAACAAAAGTTATCAGAGCATATCACCGTTTTATTCCCACTTTTATGGGTATAACTGCACTGTTCTCTTAAATTCATAAAATGATAATTATGTTTATATCATTACTACTTCTCTGTTCATTCCTCTCCTACTTGTGCATTTTGGGTTTATTTGTTGTCATTTGAAGGCTTGTTCATCCGTTACAATTTCTGTATTTTTTATTTTTATTTTTTTTACTAGGGTTTGCAACAGCAGAGGTCATATAAACCTTCAGGGTGCCGGTGTTTTTGAAAAAAAAAAAAAAAACATTTGTAAGTATGTCGGGTTCGAACGCAGGGCCACTGGATTCGAACCCGGGACCTTTACCTTACAGTGATGAGCACCGTGTCAATGCCTAAACCGTTGCGGCCACCGATGCCCCAATTTCTGTAGTTAAGTGCCAACACAGCAGGTGTCTCGATTTTGCAAAGATTTGCAATGCAAACTATCTTCAAGTTTTTTCCCCTCATGTTTCCCTTAAAAATCAAAGCAAGGGATCCAACAACCTACTCACATGCCCAACTGGACTGTCTGTATGTTGGATGTCATCCATGCCTAGTCACTCCCTGTAAGTGTGCAAGCAGGGTTTGCCCCAAAAGGAGGTGTCCATATGTTAATCAGGTATGGCCTATCCTCAAACATGTGTGTAAGATCCCTTCCTTGGGTTTCAGACCATGGGGGGGGCTCAGTTGTGATCTTATCACACAAGATGAATAGGAAATCTTGATAGAAATTTTGGTTGACGAAGATCTACAGAGTTATGATCATAAAGTCGTTTATGAACAAATGTAGGAAAAAATGAAAGCTGATCAATCAAAAGTTTTTGGTAACATTAACCGTAACTGGAGAAATTAGTAGCTATCAAAATATGTTCTTTCTTGACAGACCTGGAGGTAGTGGTAAGATATTTTTATACAAATGTCTGATATATTTCTGCAGACATTTTGGCAAAAAAGTTGCAACCATTGCCAGGACAGCAGAACCATAGTGACAGTTCGCCCCCAGTGTGGATGGACAGGACCAAACATTCGGGTTACCGTTAAATTTAGTTGAAAACAGCAACACACTGAACTGGTCACTCAAAATGAAACATGCACTCCATGAAACAGACCTTTCATCTGGGAGGAAGCATCGATGATTCCTCAAACTGTATTAGCCATTATTGGCCACCCCACAGCAGCTAGCACCTGCTAGCTGTTTCGCGAGGGGTTTAAGTGGGCAATCACAAAAAAAGGAGCAGCGAAGCCGCAGTGTGTAGCCCCATAATATAAATTAATAAAACTTCTGTATGTACTTTCAGTTAAATGAGATTTCTACTTCATGTAGAGGAAATGTTTATCCAGCAACAGTAATACAGAAAATAATATTGCATATACCTAAGATAGAAATAAATCCTGTTGATAAATATTTAAAGCTGTTAATTGATTTTAAGCCCGTAAAATATTAAATACAGCTTTAATACAAAGAAAAATGCAAAAAATTTGTTGTATTTTGGTTCACAGCATGTACAAATTCATTTAATTTTTAATTTTGGCTAAAAAATTTGAATAAATTTGTTTTTAGGTCCCTTTAATACTTGCTGTTCGAAAGAATCAAAAGTATTTGTTTATTCTGAGTATACTTGCATGGGGCTCACTTCTTGTTGTGCTATCTACTTCTTTCGTTTTCCCCTTTACCGAGAAAACGCCGCAGAGAGTATTTGTATCTGTAAGTTGAACCAACTTTACTAAATATTACAAGTTTGACATATACTAAATATACAAGTTGACATATAATGGAATTATTTCAGCACGTTACGCGAGAAAGTCATAACCTGTCGGGAAACGTTGAAATCTCAGATTCATTTTTCTGGACCATGAATTTAGAGAGAAGGGGACAAAGTGTCTTGCCGTTTCTTTCTAGACAGCCTTCCATAGAACAATTTTGCGAAAAATTTAAGTTTTGCGGCGTCCCGTGGCCAACTTCAGCATCATTCATGGCAAGGTAAGTACAGATTATAACCACCGAATTATAAACTTTAAATAAAAAATCTCACAATTTGAAATGAGGATGAAAAGTTTGAGATGAAACTTGTTGGTCGAGGGGGTTGGAATTCCAGGGCATCCAATAGGTGCTAGTAGCTAAACCAAAGTCTTCGACAAAATTAAAATAACAGACATGGCTAAAACCATCTCAGACCTATCAGAGAAAATACTAGATTTTGGTTAACCATTCAAAATAATTATTGAAAAGAGAGCTTTCTGGAAAAATGAAGCAAAAAAAGATAAACCTGAAGTTCTTCTATAGTATGTGTACAGACGAAAATTGGGAAATAGTACACAGGGGCATAAAGGGATCTAACTTTGAGCACCACATGGCCTTGGCCCCACCGCAACCATCTTTCAATGCCGAACCATTAGCATATTAATAGAAACGTCGGTTCAAAATAACTAATAAACATCTCAAAAAAACAGTAATGTTTCTTTCAAACACTAGTAGGAAGCTTTAAAGGCTCTAAAAGCCAAAATCACCTCAAAACTAGTTGAAACTGCCTAAATACCCCCAAATAACTGAGATATTCAATCAAATTGAGTTCCAGATCATGAGAGAATTACAGGCAATGAGGCAGCAGTTATACTCGCTAAAAAAGACACTCGGACTGACTCATAGGCCCAAATCCATTTTGTGGCATACAACCACATTAAAAAAAAATAGAACTGGAATCTTGGGTAACTAAAGAACAAAAGAAATCCTGGCATTAACAATTATGAAAATTCGTTCATCATTTTTATTCTAATTTCTTGTCATCTTCCGTTCAATTGCTTGTTTAATATTGAATGACTGGATAAAAAGTGTATGTAAGTAAATAAAGTCTTAATAATAAGTTTGCCTCAAAAGTTTTTACATGAATTATTTTAAAATCAGGTTTTTATACTGTTGTCTAGACAACATTTCAAATAAACTTGTATGCTTCTTCTACACAATGGCCATCAGTGGCATCTACATTCATCCACGCATTACTTGATGATGAGTGTGTACATATTTTTGATGCTTTTTCTTTGAGAAATTATTCCACAACGTTGTAAAAAATATTTTTTATTGATCATTTTATTAAGTATTAATTGAATTTTTTTTTAATTCTTGTTGCCGTTTACTCCCTATAACATCTGCAATTCAACTCTGTCATTTACCTGTGAAGATTGAAGTAAACAAGGAAAAAACTGAGACTGGACAAGGGAAATTATTTTTTCTACTTTGTTTTTATTTTTATGGTTAATATGCTTAAGATTTCATATTACCAGGTGTTGAACCTGACCATGTTGAAACGAAATTTCTTTGATACTCCTGTCTTCTCTCTTTTTCTCTTTTTTAGGACGAGTACAAACCTTGGTTTAAGTAGGATTTGCATGGTTCGTGATTTAATTCTGAGTAGAATAAAATGTCTTTTCCCGGTTTGTTTGATCCGCATCTTTAACCCCTGCACAAGGGAGAAATGGAGAGAAGAGGGTCGGTCAATGGTTTGATGGAGGCATCGCTTAGTTGAATGCCATTGTAATCCTGTATGGCCAGATTTGAGTCGAGTGTGGGAGGGTTCCTAGTTCTTTTGTCGATGTTATGTCCCAAATAGCACATGTCATTGGTCGCTGAGAGAGGCAAACTTGTAGTAGATCAGAGGAGAGTTGTTACAGCAAAAGGTGAAGGTTATTTAGGTTAAGTCTGATCCTCTATTTCTTGAACTGTTCTTCTGGTTTCTGAAGGCCACTACCAGGGCTGGGTTTACTTAAAGGATGGCTGTATCAAGATTGATATCTAATATAAAGTGGTAATGTAAAGTGAGAATGGGACCAAGGATGCTGCCTTGTGGTGGAACTTCAGGTGGAATGGGGTATTGAATAAAAAACAAATGACAAAATATGTAGTCGTATTATGTTTTCTTATAACTTGTGTAAGTATAGGTGCTAATACAAGCGTATTTGTTTTGGTAAGTTGTTTAACTGTATTAATGTGCTTAAAAACGTAGAATATTTAAGATGTACTTAATCTACTTTAAACCAAATACAATTGTACTTGGAAAAAGTTAATTGTAATGACTTTTTGTTATTAATTGGGTGTATCAATTTTTATTTTCTTATTTCTTCACTTTACAACAGCAACAGGAGTGTTTTTACAATGTCAAAACCACATCAATTCACGAGCCAAACTCACGTGCAATTGACTGATGATGTAACGAAAAACTTAAAAAGGCATTTGTCATTTAATGTTACAGGTTAGTATGATCAATATATAATATAATGAGTAGTGGTTACATTTTTTTAATTGTTGATTCATACTGAAAGTTGGATTTTTGTTTCCTACAGGTTCTGATCATATGATTCTGTATATTTCCCTACAACCAAATACTGTTCTAAATAGTTGGAGTTTAGGCATTGTACCTTTACCATCATACAATGAAAACAACATGACAGTCTATTTCGTTTCATATTATCATGGTTTGAAAACTCCTTCTTGGCATTTGTGGTTAGATTTAAAGGTATGTGTCTTAATTGCTTATTTAATTCAAATAAATTTAAAATTATTATTTATTATTAAACTATTTTTTTGATGGCCACAGATGTGGGATCACCAATTTTAAATTAAACTTTTTTTGGTTGATACTACATGGAAAAATATTAGATTTTTCCCAATGGGGCCCTAGTAGCCGAGAAATTTTTTATAAATAAAATTGTCTGTATTTGTTGTGCATGTATTTCAAGGTTATTATATATAGTTTGATTTGTTTTATTATCTGGTACAATAAAATAATATGCAGGATTGTATTAAATATGATTAGATATATGAAAAGTTACAAACACCAAATATGCTTTCAGTAAAGTAGGTTAAAAAAACTCTTTTTGAAAAAACTCACTTCAGATTTGTTTTGAAGACCCTTTAAAGCCCTTAATTTCGAATTTTTATGGCAAACAAAAAGTACATATTTTTGGGTTGGATAGTCTGGGTCATTTTCCTTTTTTCCCGTGGTGCCTTGTTTTTGTACTGAAAAATTCATAACTCCTGTGGATGTTATCAAAACTGTTTGAAAGATTAATTTCTCTTCATTCAGCCTGTCTCAACAACGTTTTTATTGTATATCATTATAAATGAGAAATATAGGGATGAAACCAACAAAAGCTCTCCAAAGTTTTTTTTGTTTTTTTTTTCTTCTGTAAAGTTTCAGATAAATAAGATTGAGTCATTCAGTTATCATTTCAGTTTGTGATTTGATCAAAATTTATGAAAATCAGTGGCATTTGGAAGGCAAAAATTTTGATGAAAAATAATATTTTTTGATTTTACTTAAAATTTATATTCGGGGGATTTTGAAGTGCTTCTTTATTCTTTGATTAAAAAATAAATAAATAAAATTGCTTGCTTTGCTCGCTCAAAATTGTACTTGGCAGCTAGCCGTAGTATGAGTATTTATGCATGTACATAATTTGTACTCGACGCAGCAAAGTAAGTTTTTTTTAACAAGGAAACATTTTTCAAAATTGTTGCCTTCCAAAATGGCTACAGAAATGCTGTCAAATTTGAAATGACACCCCAATCTATTTGAAACTTTACAGGACTTTAGAGCCAATTAAACTACATGTGATGCTACCAATTTGGCCTCTGAGAATAATTAGAACAGGAAAAATAAAATAAAACTTTTGAAATGTTTTTGTTGATTTCATCTTTATTTTTCTCACTTATAATTAAATAAATATGAATGTTGTTAACATGGATGAAAGTCAAACAATTCAGTTTTCCATTGGTTGTGATAATGTTGAATTTGGATAAAATTAAAGGAGATATGCATTTTTACCAATTTTTGTGGACTAACAAGACACCGGAAAAAATAAAACATAAATATCTATTTTTTATTTACCAAAAAATTCATATTAATGTTTTTAAAGGGTCCTCAAAACGAATCTGAATTAATTTTTTCAAAACAATTTTTGTACCTACTTTCCTGAAAGATTATGTTGGTTTTTTGTAACAAAGGTAGAAAAATATATTTAAATATATCTTAAATATTTGATTCTCAGCTCCTTGGCCCCATTGGCAAGAAACTGACCTAGTGTCGTCCCCCCCCCCAAAAAAAAAAAAAAATTAAAATCACTCTATGTACCTAGCTTCCCCGTTGTCAGTTCATTTTGTATGTAAAACATTCTATATTTTGTAGGTTGCAGACAAGAAACCGCCGCACGTTGACATTGGCCTCACAAGTCTGTATAGTTATCATGAAGCTCATTTTTCAAATGAGTTCAACAATTTTATGGCCCAATTTCCACCGTTTACCCATCTCATTCCTTCATTGTCAGTCGTAAAATACTTCACCTATTAGATTATCCGATGAGTTGTGTGTTTCTCATATAAACAATTAATCGAGGGACTTGTTTTCATTGCCCAATCCTTTATTTCAAACGTGACAAATTGCTTTAATAGAAATGATCAATGCTGAACCATTAAATGCCTTCAAAAGTGTCTAGAAAAATGTACTTGATGCAGCAGTCTACTGATGTAAATAAAAATGTTAATATAGTTTTAGTAATAACACTCATCCCTTACTTTACACAAATATCCATTCCATATGAATTTGATTTTTATTTGATGTCATTATTGCTACTGTAATTCAAAACCAACAAGCCTTTTCTTTTTAACTAACAAAAAGTCGTCATCTTCATCGCTTGAAATATTTGGAAGTTCGTCTTCATTTTCATTGTGAAAGTAAATTTTTTCAGATGAGTTGTTCTCAGTATTTTCCGTTACTAAGTTTTGGTGATGGTTTTGAAACTTAGTTAGACATAACTGGGTAAAAATTACAATATAAATTATAAAACTAAACAATATAGTAATAATGTCATCCTCTCAACATATAAATTCACACTGTTTGCTTCTGCACTATGTCCCAGCAGCTTAACGCAACAATGTTTCTTTCTGCGTCACATGTTTAAACAGTACAACTGTATTTTGTGTAATTTTAACTTATAGGAAAACATATATGTACATATCAGACCACATAAAATAAGATAAGATTGCGTAAATCAATTCCACATATAAAAAGTTCTGCATAAATTGAGGTAAATTTGCCCGTAAAGTAAATGCTTATGTAAAACAAGTGCTGTGTAAATTGAGGGATGAGTGAATGTGGAAATATAGTATTGTACTTTATGTAATCAGGGAACATCAATTCAGGGATCATTAAAAAAAATCCCTTAACCTCTCACTGTGTTAAAATAATTATACTTGTTTTCAAATATCATTGTTAATATTGGTTGTTATGTATTTGTGTATTAAATGTCATCTACACTTGTTATAATTGTTTCAATATATCTTCTACCTTCGAATATTGTAATTAGAGTGAATTATAATGGACGTCTGCTTTACAGAAGGCTTCTTAGTAACTCCTTGGTTCTTAGAATATAACAATTTTTCGCTTATCTCCAGACTAGAACTATTATTAAGCACACCGCAAATTATGCTGAAAGTTGAACTGAGACAGAGAAAAATAGAGACAAGTCTGATAGTCCCTAAACTTCAAAAAATATATCTTACTCTGCAAAAGAAGAAGCAGATAGGCCTTCTACGACTGTGAAGATTCAATTTAGAGGCAAGACTTTGTAAATATGATAACAACTAGAGAAATCTATTGTGACACCAAGGAATGTGTAATTTCCATGGTATTCCATTTTTCCATCAAATCAACCTGTTTTAATTTCAAATTAACCTTTTTTCAATTATTTCAAATTAACCTATTTTTTAATTATATATTTTTTACCTTTTTCCTCTTTCTAAACAATTTTTTTGTTTAATTTGAAATATTCCAAGAAACACAGTTTTTTATATAACCATGTTAGTTTTTTAGTTTTGGTTATTTTATTCCACATTTTTCTTTTTTCCTCTATTTTTGGGTTATTTTTCGCCCATCATCAGAAANTATATATATATGTATATTATCAGTTTACAACGCTTAGATGCAGGTGTCATTCCTAGTATCGTAGTCTGCACCTTCTCCCTCCCAGGAGACCTAATTATTTGTCTCTGCATTTTTAATTACGATTCCTTGCCTAGAGTTTGACAAGAGTACATCATTAAAATAGGTTAAAGTTGTACTTGTAACTTCAAATAAAGTTTTTAAACAAGGCATCCACAGTTGAAGTTATTAAGGTGAGTTGAGAAGCTTGAAGTCAAAAAGAACGCCGAAATTTTAACTTATAAGGTAAAAATAAGTGCCTTAAGCTCTTTGAAAACCAAAAAGGACACTTAGTTACATATTTTTTAAACATAGTAGCATGCTTGTTCATAAATAAATACAATATGTACATGTTAAAATCTATTTATCACAGTATTTATATCAGCTGTGTCTCAGAACAAGCAAGACTAATGTACTAAGTAAAAAAAAGATTATTGTAAATCATCGTATGAAGCTAATTTAAAATTATATTTATTTTTTTACAAATAAATTTAGTTTTGTAAACATAGTAAAATAATAATAGCAATAATAAATAAGACATAATAAAGATAAACCCGACCGCATCTCATGATATCTGAATAAATAAAGATAAAGACAACGCCAATAATATATTTTTTTAAATATTCGAACGTGTTGTAATCAGTCAAATGATGAAACCACATTACAAAAGAAAAGCAGAAAGAGAAAAAGGGAAACAGGAAAAAGAAACGGAAGAGGGAAGATAAGGGGATGATTCATACATTTTTACAAACAAAGATGCCATGGACTTGAAACAAGCCAGCAATGAAGAAGAAGTGAAGAACTTCCAGGGGAAGCAAATTCCATAATATTGACCCTGCAATTTGAAGGATAAGGCTAAAGTTTTAGAGGAGTGTTGAAAGCTAGGGATACAATTGTGCATTTGGATAAGGAATGCGGGGAAAAAGTTGATAGATAATGAGGACATTTATAATTGTTAATAATAATTATTAATTTTATATATGTATATTAAAACTCTAAATTTACAAATGCTTAGAATGTAAAGAAAATGTTAATATAGAAATATGATCTCTTGATTTAAGATCATAACAGTATCTAATGTAAAAATGATAAGCAATTTGAAGGTTATGAGCAGATTTGAGAGAAAAAATAACGCTACAATAAGCAAGAGAATAAAGGAATCATCAGGGATTTAATAAAGAGAACTCTAGTTTTCAGTGGACTGGAAAAGCTAAGGTGACAAAGAGAATGTAGGCTTGAGTAGATCTTTATAGTAATAGAGCTCACATAGTCATGCCATGTAAGCTTGAAGTCAAAAAGAACGCCGAAATTTTAACTTTAGGGCAAAAATTAATAGGGGAGACATTGATATGAGGAGGGATAGGTAATCTGTAGCAATGGGTCATTGAAAATTCATAAGAACTGGGATTTGTTAGGGTTTTAAAAAATTATTTCTTGACCGTTGATTGAGAGAATGAAGAACAGAGACAGCTTCAGATATGTTTCTTGTGGGACACTGACTGTAAAGATAAGTGTCATCAGCATTAAGATGAAATTGGGAGAAAGTAAGAACTAATGGAAGATCATTTAGAAACATGGAAAAGAATAAAGGTCTAAGAATAGAGCCTTGGCGTACACCAGCTGAAAGAGATATAATTTGAAGCTTTAACCCTCTGAATTCTGTCAGACAGGAGGAGATCAGATTAGTAGCAGTAGAAGAAAAACTAAAAAGATGCCTCAGTTTCTAAATAAGCAAATTATAATTTACGGAGTGAAATGCATTGGAAAAATCAAGTAAAACAATAATAACACACTTATTATCATGAATGCCTAGATTTTGAGAAGGGCTGTCTCACAACTATGAAATTTTTGGAAGCCAGATTGAAAAGTGGATATAAAGGTAAAAATATAAAGGTTGGGAGTCACAAATAAGGATATTTGTTTAAATAAAATCTTCTCAAATAATTTAGATAATGATGGGAATGGGGTGGTAGTCACTAGCAAGGGTGGGTTTAGATTTCTTGGGTAAAGCAACAACTGTTAGGGCTTCCTTCCAGGCTGAAGATTGGAGGATGAGGACGTATTAAAATCCTTGGAGTAGAGATATACGAATAATAATAATTTGATTGCTCCATTGGCTAACAGGATGAGGTGAGAGAGAAGTTCAAAATGTGGGTTATGAATTTTAAAATAATAGGAAGGGAAAAATTTAGTTCTATTAGTTAAAAATTTAACTAATAAAAAGATTAGTTTAGTAGGAATAAGAAATAAATTATTTATTAGGATTTATAATCGGAATAAATGGATAGTAATCTTTAACCCTAGCGGAGACAACTATGTGACAAATGATAGAGAGTGCTGGATGATGAACGTCCAAATTCACTAAGGGATTATCAAAACGAATAACTTTTGTATTTTTTATTGTTAGTAAAAACTAAATTTAATGTGCGTGAGACTTATTATGTTGAAAATTGACTTGCTTAAGGTTATAAAAAGAACAAAAGCCCATTACCATAGTCGCTGAAGATGTTGTAGGTGATGGAATATCAGATCGTTAGAGCCCAGGAAGATTGATGTCTTTACATAGTAAAATACAACTTAGTACTTGTTGTCAAGAAGTAAATAATTCACAGCTGAGCAATAATCATTATAAAAGAAACAGCGACTCAAATGCCTTTGCAATAGATGACTGAATGCAGACAGGCTTGTAATTCCTAATATCTGTTTTATTATACATAAAACTTCATAGCTGGACAATAGGGTCTCTGGAGCTGACCAAGGGAAAGGGATTTATTAAATAAAAAGGTACAGGTTCTAAGGACATTGCCTCAGAATGCATGGAGGAATCTGATATCAACTAACTCCCTTCACTTTATTCAAACGTGACAATTTCTGTAATATATGGGGGAGTAATTCAGCCCATTTTCATTTACCCTTAACTTCTTGTCTCATCGTTGATCCATAAAACCATATTCAGGGCCCCTTCCTGAAACTTAGGCCTTTCTTTAGAATATCTTTATGATCACTTGGAAGGATCAAAAATACGTTTTTTTTTTTTTTTTTTGCAAGTCACACTCAAATCAATCAGACAACACTGAACGGAACATCTTTAAGGATCCCATGTGTATCCTTTGGCTCGGGCTTTTACTCTTAACAGAACAACTGTTCCACCGAAATTAAACTTAGTTTGCTGCAGGATATCAATGGGAAAATAAAAATAGAATATACCCATTTTGCTGCAGCTGTCCACCTAGGAATCTGTGCCAAATTTGTTCTAATAAATTAATACTGGTATTGTAGTGTGGGGACAGATTAAGGAGCAGTATTCTAATAGGGAACGAACAAGGGAAGTGTATAGGAGGATAGAAGGACGTATTAAAATCCTTGGAGTAGCGACATACGAATAATAATAATTTGATTGCTCCATTGCTCGATAATGATGATTAAAAGGAGAGAGATTGAACTGAAGTGTTGTGGTCATAAATGTTACAGGTTAAAGAGAAAAGTTGAATAGAGGTAATGTTGAAAGAGATGTGAAGAGGAGGATATTTTTTAACATCTATAACTACATCATCATTATCACATTTTTTTACAACACAATCTTCTTGAGAGCACAATATCAAATCGAGAATCTTGCCTTGGTGAATGCGGATTGACTGAAGCAAGCAAATAAAACCAAAACAAAACTTTTGATTCCTTTTTTTGACACTTCAATAAATTTTAACTCTTCATCTATTACTTTCAGAACTGTTCACTCTCATCTAAATTCACTCTCAACACGACACACAAGGATGGCACAATTACACAGAAGACAAATACTTTGAGCCCTGAAGATGATCTCAATAAAAGATCGAAACGTTGGCACGATAAAGAAAATGTTTTTCTGAAACCTACATCACACCCGACTGCATCTCACGATATCTGAATAACTAACTCATCTAAATTCTTTAAACTGTACCAAATCTCCTGGACCAGAAGGTATTCGTCCACGACTTCAATAAAACTGCATATATGCTTTAGCACCTGTTCTCTGTAACATATTTAATTATTCCTTGGATCAAAATGATTTTCCTAGCTTCTGGAAAGTTGGATTTGTTATTCCTTTGTTTAAAAGTGGAAAAAATACGAAACTTCCAACCCACAACATAACAAAAGGAAAAAGCTGTTTCCCCAAGTGGAATATAACATTTTCACACCACTGTAAAAATAAATAAACAAACAAACAATAATCATGATTAATATATTACCAAGAATAATTAGGGAAATCAAGTTTCTCAAAAGTGAAACATAACATCATAATTTCTCTCAAAAATCCTTTAGTGAAATTTAAATGTATTCAACACACAACATAATGAACATCAATT